AGAAACAAGGACATGTTGGTCTGCTACAATGGAAGGGTAAACTTGAGATGGTAAATCATAGTTGTGGTTTCTTTCGGAGGGAGGCAAGACATGTCTAAGTATTTTTGCTTATGCCACAAAGTCTGTAGAAGTAAGCACATTCATGCCATTGATTTCTCGTAGGGTGGTCCAGCAGTCTGGCCATCTCTCCCAGCAATACTTCAGAACTTTTTTTTGATAAACAAAACATACTTAGGAACTACCCCATTGGGCTACCATTGTTGAAGTATCTTGACTCTTTCTATAACATAGTCCGGTAAAAGAAAGGCACAAACAAAGGTTACACTCAGAACACCAAAACTATATCAACCACGACCAATAGAATAAACGTAAAACCTTGTAAAACTCGCCATAAAAACTACACCTGTGGGTTCCATTCAGCTACTTTGCATCCATTCCATAAAGCAATGTGGCTATTTAGAAGGTAGATATGATGTGGCTAATGCCACTTGACAAAATGACATAAATCAAGCACACAAACATCAGCAGATGGTGATGAACTTTTCTGAATATGAGCAGCCAAATTAAAAATTATTCTCTTCAAACCATACATGGGTGGGATGGAACAACTCAGAGTTGCAAAAAAAAAAGAACAGTAATGGAAAATATTTAATTGACACATAAATGTCATGTTTGACATGTAAATGGTCCTAGGCCAAAAACAGTGATCCGGAGGTGCAAGAACACATAGAAGAGAGTTATGTAAGGCTAATACTCTGCATCTTTCTAATACAATAATGGTGCATAGCAAATTTTCAAATCACTGGAGCACAATACCACAAAAAAATATTCAGTCTAACAAAATTCACTTTTAACTTGGCATTACTTCATATCCATTTTTATACCTATTTCACCTTTACAATTATTAATATGACAATCCAAGTGGACACCATAATGATGCAATGAACACACACATGAGGTGTAGTGCAAAAGTATAACATAATTGCTGCAACTATAAGCATTGCCGTTCTGGTGGGATGCATTATCTATGAGCAAGCATGCAAAACTGAGCAGAAACAATACCAAAGTAAGCTTTTCCGGATCAGAAGGAATCAGGGAAATTTATGTCAACAAACAAAGGAACCTTAGCATTTAGCAGTTAACAAAACCATACTCTCGAGAAACAGTAAAGCTACTTCTCAGTATAGGAAATGAAAGATACTTGACCATAGTTTGCTACCATAGAAGGACAATACTGTTTTAAGAAAATGTAGGAAAATGTTTCCCCTATAAAAAAATCGCACTTTGGTATAGCAGCAAATATATCTGGGATCAAACGGAAAACTGGCTCCTGTATAGCTACGAAGTAGGACTGACATGATTCCAATATTTCTCTTCATTTGGTACTGTCAAACTCTCTCTAGGGTTCATCAAGCGTCATCTCATAGCTCTCAGGCTGAGAATTACTACTTTAAATTTTAGTCTAAGTAAAGAGATATAAATTCTCTCACACACAAATGTTCATCTTGATTTTCCATTCAATCTTCTGTCTAGAATATATAGCGAAGGATCCCAACATGGAACTTGCAATGTGTTGTCAAGAGTTTCTAATGTACAATTTCCAGCTAATAATGTGTTCACTGAAATGGTAGTTGTGATCAGTTAACGAAATAAAGCAAGAAACTGGTATCATACAACACATGTTTTGCACCTTAAAGACCGCTAAAATAAAGATTCTACATTACTCACCAGTCCCACTAATTAAGGGGAGACAGTCAAATAATGTTTATCTTGCAGAACATCCATTACAATGCTTACCATTTTTATGAATCTCTCAGGCTTCCTAATAGCTTACATATACTTTGTTTTTAAATCAGCATTCTCTAATTTCCTTGAGGTGCAGATCCTCTAAAAGAAATATGACAACTATCCTGAAGTCGTATGTGCCAAAATCAAGGTTAAGGCGGACGGGGATTTGAGATGTGCAGGGATTACATGGATGAGAAAGAAGTTTTACAGGAGGAAATAAATAATCTGAAAAGTCAGTTGCACTATATGGTTTCATCTTCTGCATCACTTGGCAGGCTCTAGCCTCCACTGCAATTGCATCAGAGATTCAGAGTTCACCTGGAACAAAAGATGATGATAGTGGTGATACTAACATTATGGATGCTACTGATTGTGCTAAAGCTGGGAGTAAATGAATGGCTCTGACAAATGAGCTCAGGGCTAAGCTTGAAGCAAACAAATTTCTTGATTTACCAAAAGGACATATATCCAGATGCAACTATTTGATTTTTCTCCAAGTTTGCATGATAAAAGGCGCAATTCTCTCTAGTATGCTTATATTTCTTACCTCGAGAACCATGGCCTCTAGAATCAATGAGTTGATGTTGCCGTAGGTCTGACTGATCCATGGACAGCAAGCCACGAGATCTCCAAGTAATCATAATCAAAACAATCTGCCCTATCTTCAGTTTTAGACTTCCAGTCACCAGAAATTATATGGCTAAAATCTGATCTTCAGAGAGCATAGCAAAAAAATAAACAAGCAAAAGGATTATCCCTGGAAATGTAGTACATGTTGCAAAATAGTCAAGGTCATTTGAACAAAATACATATCTTACATGTCAGTTAGCAGATGAATTATAAGATCGTCAATAGGAAGGTAGACATCCCAATCTCCATTAGTGTGTGTGACAGTCGACGCTGCTCCACCTTGTCCAAACTCACTGCCTCATGCATGTGACTGTTCCGAAGGTAATAAAACTACCAGAACAAATGAAAATATGCATTTGTAGCCTCAGGCAAAGAAAATGCAAAGCTTGCACAAAATCCTCTAAAGGCAAGGAAGCTTTGGTACAAACACAAAAAAGCATGGATACATCTTATCTAAGCCAAGCATGACAAAATGTAAAAGCTGACATCCTCAATTTTGCTAAGTTCACCTCTTAGCAAACATACTTGATTAGCTATGTAGGTCCTTTTTGATGTAGCATAGTGTGCTCCAACCTAGATATTGTTTTCAAACTCTATATCCAACCAAAGGCTAAGGCACTCAATATCATAAAATTGCATCACTGAACAATTTCAATAAATGTTTCTAATTTTATGGCAACACCAAAAAAATATTACAATCACAAGATTGTTTAACATGTTGCAATATAAAGAATGACACCACCAAATTCATTATGCATGAATAGATGTAGGGGTGACACCACAAAGCAGAATATACATGTAACTAAACTAATCTCTTAAGAGCAGAACATATATGATATATGTAATTAAACAAATTTCCTATAACACACTCTTGATAGTGCCCGTAGTTTCTCAAACCATCCAGTCTAGTATATGCAACTATTTTTTGTTTGACAAATATATTAGACAATGGCACATTCTTTCACAAAAGAAATGTGACAAATTCCAACAGAACATAACGGAAAAAATATTTTTTTGCATATTCCATACGAACTTTTCAAGCTCAACAGCCGGCGCAATGGCCTTGCCTTGCTGCTCTTCACCAGCTATAAATCCCTTTGCTTGTACATGGATAAGAAAGAAGGTAAATTTAAAGTAAGGAAGTAATATTTCAGAGAACTACAAATAAGAATTGTTCGACAGCTAACTGTGTATCTATAATACTGCACATGCATGTATTATCCCAGTCCTACAAAGCTCACTCCTATGAACCAAATGGCCGTAAAACAATACAATTTTGCATAGTAGCTTGGATAAAAGAGAAAAAAACATGCTGCACATGCATTTCAAAATATAAAGCACAAATTATTTGCTTGAATGTTGTATTGCAAATAGGGCTAAACTTGCAACGTTGAAAGATAACAACTGTTAGCAAGGAAACTCATGTATAGTTACTGATAACATGAAGATCACCACAGAGCCCTTTCCAGTTGGATTTGTCGTCGCTCGCTTGACTGGAGAGGCACCCATTTCCCAAGGGTAGACCTCTCCCCTCCTCTTTGTGATGAACAATTGCGCCAAATGAGCAGAATGCAAGGCACCATAAAATTCACTTCCCGGAGAAGCGTTGTTTGTGGCCTTTCATTTCACTTATTGTGGAAAAATATAAAGAGAAGACTTAGTAATTGACTACCACAAAATCATCAACCATATATAAAGTATGCATATAGAAATGAGGTGACCATAAACCCACATGTTTGCTTTGTAACAAAACAAAGTATACAAAACAATTTCAGAATATCGATAGCAAAATACATCAAAACAACATGTTGCGTCTTGACTAAAATAATTATCTACCAAATGTTCCTAATGGTACATGAGATGAAAAACATAGGTTACAAAATTAAATGAACATATTAGTGGACAAATGCGTCCATTAGTACTATTATAATGTATCTTCTGGTAAATGAACACAAAGATCGGTCTTGAAAGTATTCATATGCATTTTCTTTTATATTATATCTGACATCATGTCTTCATACATCCATGATTCATGCAAGAAGTAATATATAGGTTTTGTTTTATATTATATCTGACTTCATGTCTTCATACATCCATGATTCATGAAAGAAGTAATATATAGGTCCCAGTGACAACTATACAGAACAAAGTGATATCACACAGAAGGAGACCAAACAAGGTAATTAGAATTAAAGGTGTAGTTCGGACAACCTATAGGCATAAATAGTTTTTGCTCCACCTCTTGAATTGCTTCAGATTCATCAATAGATTCAGTGAACAATATGAGATGCTTCCCACACCATGAGCTAGTCTGGTAGCAGATATATATATATATATATATATATATATATATATATATATATATATATATATATATATATATATATGCAACTATAGTTGGGAGTTGAAGTGAAGCAGGAGTGCATTTGATAAAAAGAAAGAAAGAAGTACGTTTGCACTGAGAGTAAGAAATTGCTGCAGACAAGTGGTCGTGTCTAAATTAGTGTATTTTAGAGCAACCTGCACAATTGACCTGTGTAGCATGCAGTGTGGTACACCTGAGCATCTTGAATCACCCCAGGATGCCTAAAGTACCATTAAGGGAACACTCAGTGACGGTAACAGCAAGTACTAAATGGTTGAATCGGTGACTACCAAATGGAGAGAGAGAGAGAGAGAGAGAGAGAGAGAGAGAGAGAGAGAGAGAGAGAGACGTGAGCATGCTTATCGAGCAATGGGAACAAGAAAGGGAACACTTTAGTAAGTATTTGGCAATGTTCCCTCGAGATGCAAGAAATTACCTAGCACGACTCCTCATGCCGAGGTGCATCGAGAAGAAAACATAGGTCTGATTGAATATTTATCGTCCTTGCTCTCCTTTGTCTGGCCTGCACGACCTCTCCCTTCGACTCCTCGAGGCGCTCCTACAGTCGGCGCCACCATCCATGAGACAAGAGGGGGAGACAAGAGTGAGGAGGTGAAGGCAAACCTGAATCACCTCCTACTGTTCCAGTCAGCGAGCCTCCTTCAGCTACTGACCCCGGCCACAATCACCGCTCGACCAACCTCGCTGCTTCCGCCCACAAGCGTAGGACACGCCACCGCTTTCTGCTTTCGCCCTCTGAACTGGCCTCCGTCGTGGAGCCTAAGGGTGGGAGCCCGCCCGCATCCGACGCTCCATCTACCCCTGCTGCACCCACAGACACCACCAGATTCTCCATGGCCTATTGCCTCCACCCCGACCCGGCAGCCGCCATGGGGGCCTAAGTGACGGCAGGTGGTCGGCTGCGATGACGAGGGAGGGAGGAGGGAGGGAGTCGGTGGCGCGAGGGAGCATAGGAGGTGGCTGAGGCGAGTGGGGAGCGGGGAGGCGGCGGAGTGGGAGAGGAGATTGGGAGCGGGAAGGACCGGAGGAGGGGTGTGGCGGCTGTGGACTGGGGGCTAGGGTTCACGCCCACGCCCAAGCCACAAGAGATGGGGAGCCGATTGGGCAAGGCGAACCCTAGAAAGGCGAACCCAGCCAATAACCATTCGAAGCGAGCCCACCAGTCATCGGGCATGAAAAAATACTGCGCGGTGAAAAACCCTGATGGCCGGCTGGTGAAAATCCAACGGCCAAAAGATCAAGTTGACCAGATCTAATGACTGACGAAGCTCCAATCCGGTGGAGCATTCTGGATGCAAGTTGGCTAGGGTTCTTATAGGTTTAAATTCATGAATAATAAACATTTATCATGAATAAGAAAATATAAAATTGTCAGGACCCCAACTCAATGTCACATCGATCTAGCATGTAACACCTCATATCATTTTGCGGCCTCACGCACGGTATTCCCACGGGTGTCGCCTTACCTTTGCCCGGGAGCGTTTGCGCCTTTTGGCACACGTATATGATAGTGTCGCTAGCATCCATATGGTAAGGAGCCCGGGCTGACATGGCTAGTCGTAAACCCAAAGTGGCACAAACTTACAGGGACAGGCATCCATGACCCAGCATCGAACGTGTCGGTCATCAGCAAGTGAATCCAGGTTGTAGCACTGGGCTAGCAGGACTCCGGTAAACCGGGCTGTAGCGGGCTAACAGGACTCCGGTATACATCGCGTGACATTTCCCCGAAGGGACACACACAGGAACAAAGAAGGACACATGCCGGCCAGCCTAAGTGTTCTGGAGCAGTAGCAAGCTACCAAGGCTCAGCGGAAACACTAGGAGACATTTCCCGGTAAGAGAGGCTACTAAGGATAAACAACTAGATAGTCAGATCCCACACATACCAAGCATTTCAATCATACACACAATATGCTCGATATGTGCAAATACAACAAGGCATCACAACATGACTCTACGACACAAGTACTTTATTTAAAGGCTCAGAGAGCCATACATAGCATACACACAAGTACGGGTCACACGATCCAGCATTCAAGTCATACAAGCATACAAGCCAACAGCGGAAGTAACTTGTCTGAGAACAGACAACTAGTAAAATAAAAGAGGCTTGGGTAAGCCTAGCTATACTACATGGTCCTTCACAAGCTCAGGATCACCACCTGGGCCTCAGTCTACTCATCGATGTCAACGTCTACGAAGAACCCATCAGAAGGGGTTGCGGCGTCTTCTAAAAAATGTAAATTAAAGCAACATGAGTACAAAGGTACTCAGCAAGACTTACATCATATCCTACATACATGCACATTATCAATAAGGGTTGGTGGGGTTATTGCAGCAAGCCAGCTTTGACTCTTGGCTAAGCTATCCTATGAGACACCAACTTGAAATGGTTTTGCGTACTCGAGTCCACTACTCACCACTTCAATACACCACCGAGGATCCACCTCCGTCCTCCTACGGAAGAGCCATCCTCGGCACTCACGCTTATCTTGAGATTTTTAGTAGTATCCATTTACTTGTCTATGAACTGTATAGGCAACCAAGTAGTCCTTTACCGCGGACGCGGCTATTCGAATAGATAATGTTAACCCTGCAGGGGTGTACTTCTTCATACATGTTTCCACCACTTAGCGTCTGCACACGGCATGTGCTCGGCAGACTTCAAGCGAAAGCCGACGTGGGTGTAGACCACGACCTAACTAAACACCTAAGTCTCTAGTCCAGGTTTATCGCCTATCTAGGTTCCATCCGCAGGGAGTCCGGCCGAGGTTTCCACAAACGGCCCCGAACGATGTGTACAGGGTTCCCGAGATACCTAACGGGTATCCGGTACACTGTGCCACGTACCTACCGCATCACAGCCCACCCCGCGGTCAGCGCTGTTCACGGCCTCCAGTAAGCTAGAAACACCAGAAACTACTTGCAACTCCTGGACAGAGGACTAGGGTGAATAAGAAGTCGAGCGGGGTCATATTTCAGGGCCCAATGCATGATAGTAGCTGAATCTTAAATCACACATACAGATCTCAGTGCTTAAGGTCGGTTTCAATGAAACAACCCACCATGTACTCCTACATGGCCTCTCATCGATACCTTTACCAAATCGTGTTCAACACATCACTCTCATTACCGACATGATCATTTCACTCTAGCCCATCACCCAGATGAACCAGACCTGACACGACTCTAAGCATAGCAGGCATAGCAAGGTAGGAACAACACATACATATGGCTCAATCAACTCCTACACATGCTAGTGTGTTTTATCTAGTTATTGTGGCAATGACAGGTCATGCAGAGGAAATGGGTTCAACTACCGTAGCACACAGCAGTTTGAAACGCGTTGTCTTAATGCAGTAAAAGAGAGCAGAAGCGAGAACATGGGATTGTATCGATATGATCAAATGGTTCGTTGCTTGCCTGATGGGCCGATGCACTGATATTGTTCTTCGTTAGGGTAATCGTGGTACTCCTCGGAGGCAGAACCTGCCGCAAAGAGCACCGATACACAAACATCACCAAACAATATGCAACAAAATGATGCATGCATGAAACATGGCAAAATGAGTGTATTGGGCTAATGCAACTAAGACCAGATGGGTTTGAACCATTTTGAATCAAAGATTCAAGTTTCAAACTCATAAATGGCCCTTATAAGTGCTTTATCTTGTTCTGTACTAAACAGCAGGTTAAATTGTTTAAACATGCATGAAACCAGTACAGATGGATAGATTGGATTTTTCTAATCATTTTTCATATGTAAAACTTTGCATTTGGAGTTACAGATTAATTTCTATGATTTTTTAAAGTTTGTGGTATTTACTGGAATTTCCTGTGTAATAATAATTCCAGTAAATAAATTACTGCGTCAGCATTACGTCAGGATGATGTCAGCGGTCAACGGAACAGTCCAGGTCAACCATGACTAGTGGGTCCCGTGTGTCAGTGTAATTAGTTTAACTAAATATTAATTAAAACTAATCCTGATTAGTTAACAGGGCTGGGCCCCACCTGTCATTGACCCAGGGGGTCAAACTGGGCCCACCCATGGTCAAACGAGGGCTCAGCGGGGTCAACTCACTGGTGTTTAGCCGCCGGCGAGGCCAAACGCGGCGGCGAGAGTGGTTTTGTGCATTCCGGTGACCAAAAGAGCCGCGGAGGGCATCTACGTGTAGCTGGGAGCAAGCCGCAGCTCTTGGTGGTGGTGGTTGAGCTCGGGGTGGCCAGAAACGGCGCCGGCTATGACCTTGGCGGTCGCCGGAGTTCGGGTGATGATGAACCCGAGGCTACGGAGCACGGCGAGGCTCGTGGTGAGGTGCTACGGGTTCCTACGAGTGCGGTGAGTGCGATGGACATGGTGGTGTGGCCAGTGGGTGGCCGGAGTCACGTCGGCGATGAGCTCCGTGGCGGCGCGTGCGGGTGAGCTACGTGTAGTCGCTACGGGGCTCGAGAGCGAGAAAGGAAAGGGAGGAGAGGTAGCTGGGCTCACGGCGGTCTCGAGGGAGCAGACAGCGCGGTCGGGGACGAGCTGGTGCGGCGGCAACGGCGAAGGGGATCTCCGGCGATGGTGGAGTCGGGCGAGGTCGGTGCAGAGGACTCGGGGCAAGCGAGTGCTCGGGGCTCGGCTAGCTCGACGAAGAGGAGGGCGACGGAGCTCCTGGACACAACGGCACGGCGCAAGGACGACGGAGAGCGCGACTACGGCGACGGTGCGGCTACGGTGGTGTCGGCCATGGTGCGGGAGAGCGAGGGAGAGAGGCAGGGGGAGAATGGATGTGTCCAGAGGGTTCGGGGCGCGACGTGGAGGTCGTCCAGGCCAGCAGAGAGGCGAGGGGAGGAAGCAGGGCGACGGGCAGCTGCGTGGCGCGCGCTGGTGCCGCCGTCGAGCACCTGCCCGCCTGCCTGGCGAAGGCAAGCAGCTCGCTGGAGCGGCTGCTGGGCTGGGCCGGCTAGGTGGGCTGGCTAGTTGGGCTGCCAGGTTAGTTCCCTCTCTCTCTCTTTATTTATCTTTTTTTATTTATTCTGTAACTTTGTGGACTTACTAAAAATACCTAAACAACTCCAAAATTCACCAAACTGCTCATGGCCATTAACTGGAATATATCTAGCATGGAACATTTTAGTTTGGGATTATTTGAGCATTTAAAATAATTTATATAATTTAAATGCCCAAACTCAAATACTTATGATTTAATTCAAAGACCTTAAGATGACCTAGAAAATTGTGCACCACTTTTGGCAGAGGTTCTGAACCAAGGCAAAAATGATGGACATTTTAGAAGGGCATTTCAGGTTCATTGAAAATATTTTTAGTGAACCCTAGTTGGTTTCAGAGGGGGCTGGGGGTTCTGTCATCCCCATTTCAAGTTTCTGTTGAGAAAAATAGACATGATGCAACACTCTAATGCATGAACTAGCTAGGGTGTGACAACTCACCCCCACTCAAAAGAATCTCGTCCCGAGATTTAGGTTCCTCCGGAAAGAAGGCGGGGTACTCAAGTCGAAGACGATCCTCCCTTTCCCAGGTTGCTTCCTTCTCAGAATGTGGCGACCATTGAACCTTGAGAAACTTGATATTTTGACGTCGAGTGGTACGCTCGGCTTGATCGAGGATACGAACGGGGTACTCTCGATATGTGAGGTTATCTTGAAGATCAAGCGTTTCGTGGTCCACTCCACGGATAGGATCCGAGAAGCAATGCCTGAGTTGAGAAACGTGGAAGACATCGTGGACTCTGGAGAGATGCGGAGGTAGTCCCAATTGGTAGGCAACTTCTCCTCGTTTAGCGAGAATGCGAAAGGGTCCAATGTAGCGAGGAGCCAATTTGCCTTTGATACCGAAACGATGGGTTCCCTTCAGAGGGGTAACCCGAAGGTAA